TTCTGTTTGCCAAGGCTGCAGAATGTCTGCTGTTCAAATTCTGCTCAGATATAAAGACATTCAGTTCCCATTTTCTTCCTCTACATTTGGGTAATCGAGTGTTTTTAAATAAAGTCCACGCTCACCATTGTAGTGAAACTGCTCTTGAAAAGGTCACCAGTGACCTCTTGATTGACATGTCCAAAGGCTTCATCTAATTTTCCATCCTGCTTAACCTCCTCTGCGTTGGACAGCTTGACCTCTTTCTTATTCTCCAAGTGAGGCACTCCCTTGGTGGGTGTCACTGCTCTTTCTATGTCTCTGGTCTGTCCTCTGTGGTTTCTTCTTTTTTTGCCCCTCAACTCTGCATGAACCCCGACATTCTGCCCTTTGTCTTCTCATCTCTCACCAGGCGGTGTCCCTGAGTGCCTTCTCCATGTTTAAGACTCCAGTTACCACCCGTGGGCCCTCGTGATTCCCACATCCATGTCTCCAGTGCCTGTCTTTCCTCAGCACCAGATCTGCTTTTCTCCCTGTGAACAGGATGTGTCCACTTGGATGTCCCCACAGGACCATCAACACCATCAACACCATATTTGTAAACTGAACTATGTCCCCTACAAATTACTTCTCCTCTGTCACACACCTCACCACTCACACTAGTCCTCAGTTAGAAAGCTCAGAGTCATCCTAAGCAATTCCTTCTTTCCCAACACCCAATTAATCATCAAGAATAAAATGTCTCTATTCTCAGGAGTCTGTTGCAGCTTCCCCATGCTCACTGCCATGGCCTCCAGTCATCGTTTCTGTCTTGCAGAAGTCTCTCACGTGCCTCCAATCTGCCCCCAACATCCCGCCACCTTCTCTAATCATCTGCATTGCTGTTAGAGTGGATTTTCTAAAATCAAATGGAATCATGTCACTGGATTTAAAATTTTCCAAAGGGGTAGATGTGTGTGAGAGGGGGCAGGGTGGGGAGATTGTATTAGCCATCACGCCCTCCAGATCAAGTCCACACTTCCTCACATGGCACAGAAGCCCTGCTAGTTGCTCTGGGAACAGACTGGATTTTGTGTTTTATCTCCTACCAACTCCCCTCCACCTTCCCTGTCTTCTCAGTTGGAGCTCCTGGGGTCGAATCTTTCTCGTCATTATTTCAAACTCTGCTTAGATGCTGGACTGCTCTTCCCCAGCATTCTGAACTTCTAGCATCTTTCAGTTCGCAAATCAAACAGCACTTCTTCTCCAAAGCATTCCCTGAGCCTCGGACCAAGCCAGAGATCCTCAGCCTTGGCACTACTGACATTTCGGGTTGCATAATTCTCTGTTGGCTAATTCTCAACAACAGGCTGTGGGAGGCTGTCGTAGGATGGGCATTGGAGGACGTTTGGCAGCATCGCTGGCCTCTACCTGCTGGATGAGAGCAGCACCCGCCTGCCCCACTTTCCACAACCAAAAATGTGTCCAGATGCTGTGAAATTTTCCCTGGAGGACGAATTGCCCCCTCTCCCGGTTGCAAGCCATTGAACTAAACCAAGTCCCCTTCTTATCATCCCATAGCCTCCTGTCCTTCTCTGATCGTAACACTCATGGCACAGTTTTGGAGTGACCTGTCTGATTGTCTCATCTGTTCCAACAGAATGTTATCTCCAAGAGGACATCTCCCAGGGCCCGGCACCCACTAGGCATGTAGTTTAGCTTCGTGGAAGAGTGAGCTCCCTGATGGGAGCGACCTTGTCTGTCCTCTGCATGGTGCCCAGTATGGTGCTGGCACATATAGGGCTCAATAAACATTTGTCGAATGAAGGAATGATTCAATCATTCCATTCAAATGCTTCTTTCTCTGTGAAACTTCTACTAGTATCCCAGTCAAGGTTAGAGTCTTTTTTTCTCTTAATCCCATTGTATTTTATGCATGCCCCTGTCCCCCAGCACTTACTACATTGGACATTATAATCAGTTTGGTAATGTTTGTGGAAATGAAATCATGTTCTCTGGGGGCACGTGGGTGGCTCAGTTGGTTACGCATCTGCCTTCGGCTCAGGTCATGATCTCAGGGTCGTGAGATGGAGCCCTGCATCAGGCTCTACACTCAGCACAGAGTCTGCTTAGGATTCTCTCCCTCTTTGGGGCACCTGGGTGGCTCAGTTGGTTAAGTGTCTGCCTTCAGCTCAGGTCCTAGGATCGAGCTCCACGTCGGGCTCCCTGCTCAGCGGGGAGCCTGCTTCTCCCTCTCCCTCTGCCCTCTCCCATGCTCTTGCTCCTACTCTCTCTCTCTCTCTCAAATAAATAAATAAAATCTTAAAAAAAGATTCTTTTCTTCTCCCTCTGCCCTTCCCTGCCCTGCTCGCACACGGTCTCTCTCTCTAAAATATAATAATAGGGCGCCTGGGTGGCTCAGTTGGTTAAGCGACTGCCTTCGGCTCAGGTCATGATCCTGGAGTCCCGGGATCGAGTCCCGCGTCGGGCTCCCTGCTCGGCAGGGAGTCTGCTTCTCCCTCTGACCCTTCCCCCTCTCATGTTCTCTCTGTCTCAAATAAATAAATAAAATCTTTAAAAAAAAATAAATAAATAAAATAAAATATAATAATAATCATCATAATAATCATGTTCTCTGTATCTTCAGGTCTCTCTCTTGAAACAGAAAAACTAGGTCCATTCCTGTGCCCAGGAATGTCATGATCTACCTTTTCCTTAAACTACTACACCTGTTCTGCTCCTGGCTGTTCTCAGCCGCACCCACCACACACTCACTCATCCATCTTCCTTAGCCGACTTCAAAGAGGAGGAATAGCTCAGAGCTGCTGGGCATTGAGGACCTACGTCTGCTTCATGGCCCCATTTTGCCTCTCTCTTCTCTGACTGTGCTCCCAGCAATTACAATGGGTTCTGAGAGGTTTTAATAACATATGGTGCTTGCTCACAAGCCTCTCCCAGGGATAGGAAGCACCACATCTGCAGCATGCCCCCCACCTGATGACTTGAAATGCAAGAGCCTCCAGGGAACCCCATGGCGGAAAGGTGCCGTGATAGTATTAAAGTAAACACACATTCACAATGGTCAGAAAGGACATCAGCCTTCCTTTGAGAGGAGTTCGGTACTCAGAGAAGAGTAGGGTAGGATTTTGTGCACGGTAGATGGTTAATATGTATCCTTTAGTCACAAAGGCCTGTGGAGAGAAGATGCCGAAGTTTATATTTGGCATCCAAGCCTCTGAATAACTAACAGCATTGAGGCCGGGTGTTTGGTTTGAGGTCAGCTCCATTTAAACAGTGAGGCCAGGTGCAGACACACACGCTGGACCTTTGAGCTCTGTGTGTTGCAGTCCAGATGTTCTGCAGAGGTGATGAGCTTGGGTCACTGATGGTGGGAGAGTGTGTAGCGCTCTTCTAGCATCTTCCACGGGGAGCCCTGGACAGTAGACTTGGCCCTAAGCCCATGTTCCTTGCCAGAGTCAAGAAACAGTAGCAGATGCAGTTGTTGCTAGGGATAAGAGATCATCCACTGGGGAGTTGAGATAGCCAGGACAGGGGGTGGGTAGCACGAGGGAGGTCACAGAATTGACCGTGCTTAGCCTCTGCCCATGTCTAAATTACTTGGAGACGTTCTGCAACGGGAAAAATATTAGGCTTTTAATGACAGCCCTGACAAACATGATCCGTATGACCAAACTGGTCGCGAAAGCAACTGCTATCATTTCTTCAAGGAGGATTTGTCAAATTGCACGTTTCGCACGGGGTTTTCCTAGTCCCACACTTTGCCTCGAAAAATGTGCACAGAGTAAGGGGTTTGAACTTTCTGAATTTAATGCAAAGCCCATATGTTGTTTGGGTTTTGTTTGTGTTGTTTGTTTGTTTTTATGGTTGCAAAATATGTTTTGAACCATATAGCAATAAAACGGTAAACACAAATCCTCCAAAGCACGCAACATATTTCTAATGAAAGGAAACAACCACCTTACTGTATCTACAAAGAAAAAAAAAAAAGAAAAATGATGAAGAGGGGCCATTTCGTTCACAGATTGTGGAATCCTACTGTTTACTGCTCTCCAAATGAGTATTTTTGAGGCATGACTTTCAACAGGGAATTTTCCAAACAGAGTGGCTCCTGGCATCGCGCAAAGAACGTTGCTGTTGGTTGACAGCCAGGCAACTTGAATTCTGGTCTTGACTGCTGACCCCTGCTTCCTGGCTCCCAACCCCAGCACTCCACTCAGGGTGCTCTTGTCAAGGGGACCAGCGACCTCCTCGTTGCTAAATCCAAAGGGCGTTTTGCAGTCCACTTCTGCCCCGACCTCTCTTCAGCAGATGACATGATTGCCCGCTCTTTCCTCCTTGAAATCCTCTTGCTCGGGGCCTACGGTGACACCACCCCATCCTGGTTATTCTCTGGCTTTTCCCTACACTCCTCAGACACTCTCTAGGCTGTTCTTCTTCACCAGTGGCGACGAGCAGCTGCTGGGGGCTGAAGTCACATGAGGTTTTGTGGGCATTTTCTTATCAACTCTTCACAGCAGCCCCGGGAGCCGGGACTTCCTGGCTCCCTTTCACGGCCGGAATCTGCCCTCTGTTCCTCATCTCCAACTGCTCCCAACATATCTCCATTTGCCTGTGTCACAGCCATCTAGTAGGGGTAGTGGTGGTGGACGACTTCTCAGCTGCCAATCCTTTCCTGATGATTGGCAGAAGCCCATGATTGCTTAAGGAGTGGACACATGACCCAGACAGGTTAGATTTCTGGGAATGTCTAGGAAAAGTTTTCTCTCTCTTAAATAGACACATGAAGGATGGTTTCTTTTCTCCTTCTAGATACTGCTGTGCCTTGTATTATTAGAGTCATGACAACCGTCTGTAACCATGAGAAATAGGTCAAATCCAACAAAAGAAGAATGGCACCTGGGTCCTTCATGACCAGCCGATTGAATCTTATCTGGGACAGGGGCTTCCAACTATGTTATAAATAATACATTTCCTTATTGCTTGTATAGGTTTTTGTTTTGTTTTGTTGTTGTTACTTGCAGCCAAAAGCTTCCTAAGTGATACATCAAATTCATCGTATCTGCAGCTCAACTTAGTATCTCCTCCTCCAAACAGCCTCCCCTCCTATAACTCTAGCTTTATTAATATCACCATAGTTGACTCATTAACCCATGTCAGCACCCTGGGCATCATCCTTGACTCCTCCCTGTGCCTCACCCCCAAAGTCCAATCATGAATTAAGTCCAGGAGATTTGCAGGCGGCTGAGGGCCATGGTGGGGTTGAGCTCTGTCACCTGTCCTCCACCTGAGGAGCCCAGCTCAGGCAGCGCTGGGAGCCCAGCTGTTGCGGCTCCCGAGGAGCTGGGCCATGCAGGCCAACAGCCCGGATCACGCACGTGGGACCAAGGTGCTTTGGGCTGCCATGGCCAAGCTGTGCCCCGGCACCATGGTGGCCGTCCCCACCGACACACCGTATAGCCTGACCTGCTTGGCCACCTGGGTGCCGTGTACCACCTCCAGGGCCACAGCCAGGCCAAGCTGCCAGCCCTCTGCCTGAGCCACATGGCTGACATCTTCAGGGACTGCCATGTGAGAGTATCCAAGGGGCTCCTGAAAGACTTACTACCAGGACCAGTGACCCTGGTGTTGGAATGCTCCCAGGAGCTCAGTAAGGACCTGAACCACTTTACTCCTCTTACAGGCATCTGGATTCCTGACCATTCCTTCATGCAGGATTCGGCTCAGGTGTTTGGGACACTATTTTCTCTCACCAGTGCCAACCTCAGCTCTCAGGCCAGTTCTCAGAATGTCTTTGAATTCCAGTACCTCTGGCCTCAATTGTCCCAGGTCATTGATGGGGGACCAACTGAGGATGGCCACAGCCCTGAGTATCGCCTGGGCTCAACTATGGTTGACTTGTCTGTGTCTGGAAAGTTTGGCATCATTCATCCTCCAACAGAAGTAGGGGCTCCTGCCCTCACAGGGATCCTGCTTGTGAATCCAGTAGAAGGGAGGACCCAAGGACTGATGCTGGCCACTTTGTGTCTGTCCACTGGTGACCAGCAAGGGTTCATTTAGAGAGGCCACTGGGGCTACAATATCACTAGTCTGACTCTTTCAGGCAAGGTGTCTTTCTGAACACTGTAGACCAGGCCCCAAGCTGGCATTTAGTCTCACCCCTGGTGGGGGAGGTCTTATGTATTATCTATAATTTCATGTATCAGCCAAAAGCTGACTAGAGACTTTGAGGACATTCCTAGGATGGCCCTATTCTTTTTTTTTTTTTTTTTAAGATTTATTTATTAGAGAGAGTGTGTGTGTGTGTGCACATGGGTGGGGGGGAGGGGCAGAGGGAGAGGGAGAAGCAGATTCCCCATTGAGCAGGGAGCCCGATGTGGGGCTCCATCCCAGGACCCTGGGATCATGACCTGAGCTGCAGGCAGACACTGAACTGACCAGATGCCCTGGTCTTGTTCTAATTAGTTTCTTTTTAAAAAATATTTTTGGAAAATAATTTAAAGAACAGATTTGGAGCCTAGTCAGAGCCTCCTCTCTGATGGGTAGTGGCATTTAAGGTCCAAATCAGCTAGAGCACCAGCTGGTGCTGTTTAAAAGTCTCCAGTGACCGACAGCACGTGTTTGTGCGCTTGAAGCTGGAACAAGGTTCGGATTCGGATAAAGACTGTTGAGCCCAGGCCCAATACTATTTCCTCTGACTGGGCAGGCTGGTGGTGTAGTATGCTTTAATGCCTGGTGGAGAGAGTTATCAGTTTGGACTAATGGTGGGAAGTGAGCTCAGTTGGAAGGGGTGGGAGTAGGGAGGTCCAAATTTTAAAATATCGGGAGGCACCTGGGTGGCTCAGTCTGTTAAGCATCCAACTCTTGGTTTTGGCTCAGGTCATGATCTTGGGGTCGTGAGATCAAGCTCTCCACGCTCAGCTCGGAGTCTGCTTAAGATTCTTTGTCTCCCTCCTTCTCCCTCTGCCCCTCCTCTGCTTGTGTGCTCTCTCTCAAAAAAAAAAAAAAAATTGGAGTGGTGCCTGGGTGGCTCAGTTGTTAAGCATCTGCCTTCAGCTCAGTTCATGATCCCGGGGTCCTGGGATCGAGCCTCGCATTGGACTCCCTGCTCTGCGGGAAGCCTGCTTCTCCCTCTCCCACTCCCCCTGCTTGTGTCCCTCTCTCACTGTCTCTCTCTCTGTCAAATAAATAAATAAATAAAATCTTTAAAATAAATTGGAAAACAAATCTCTATTATTTTTCTTAAAAAAAAAAAAAAGTCCAGGAGACTCTGCTGCTGAAGATCTTATTCTTTCTTTCCATTAACCCTCTCCTTGTTCTTTTCAGTTCTTTGCCATTTTTACTGTCCTTCTGCACCCTGTCTCATTTTGAGAGGTCACCACTGTCTATATTGATCCCAAAGAGATTTAAAAAACTCAGTACTAATCTTCCAACTTCCTTGATTACACTGTGTCGATAGCCTACACTTATCTTCAAAGTAAACTCCGGCCAATGCGCATGGTGTGTAAGCTGCATCGAGACAGGGCTTACCTCTTTGGACTGTCACCTCCACTGCTCCACATCATCCTAGTTTCAACACACTGATTTCCTTGTGGTCCATGAGCCATTGCCCCTTAGTGTCACTGCATGTGCGGTTCCTGGACCTGGGATGCCCTCCCTGATGCCGCCCTAAACAATCCTGGCTGGCCAGCATGTTCTCATGCACCTTGGTTTGTCTCTCCTACAACATAGCAGGTGTACATTTCAGGCATGCCAGGCATATCGTTCCTTATTTTCATCTCTCCCCTCTTGATTTGTATTTTGAACCCCATCTCAAGTCAATCTCCATCAGTGTGGTGCTTCCCCACTCCCCAGTGGTGAATCTAAGTCCTAGATTCTCTAGTGTTGCAGTGCTAAGGGAGGTGTCTGCTTGGTCTTGGGGCATCTGTTCATCACAGGTTGCCATTAAGACATCCCTGATTTTCTCTTCATGGCCCCTTCAAGTTCAGGCGTCATGTAGGCAATGCTCACTGCATGCTGGGTCCCTAGAATCTCTGCAAGGCAGCCTTGGCTTTGTCTGCATGGATACTATCATCACTGCACCTGCTCTGAGGTCTTGCCACCTTCCCGGGGCCCCCTTTGTGGACAGACCCTCCTGTTCCCTGGTCCTCAGCTCTCTGTCCCTAATTAACTCCTTGTCTTGTCTCCCTCCTCCAGCACCTGTGAAGAGTTTTCTTGTCTGGAAAAAGCACTCCCCTCCACTTCCTGCTTTGGGACATTTGTTTATCCCCCTACCTGCCCTGGGTTGCCCCAGGGGAACTTTGAGGGTTTAGAATTAGGGAATGCGAGAGGCAGAGACTGACAGTCCTCCTTTTTCCTTCTACTCTGTCAGATTTCTTCCTTAAGATAGAGAGCACAGGCCCAATAAACCGCTTGGGAAAGAAGGAAGATACCGGGAGACGAGAGAACACCGATGATTACGATCACCTGGCCAGCATGGTCCTCACCACCCTGGAAATGATCTACATGTGTACCCGTTTCATCCAGACGGTGTGCTCCAGAGGCCAAGGCCTGCCGTGTCCTTTATCCTGGTGTTGTCAGCCTCTGGTATTGGGCCCATAGTAGGGGCCTTGTAAAATAGCTGTCGAAGCTAAAAATGGAAGAGGGGAGTGGACTTGAGATCAAGGACACCTGAAAGAATCCTGTCAGTTGCCTGCCTCATTATGTGGTCCCGGGGCAAGTTACTTCACTTCTCTGTCCATGGGCAGTAGCAAGAGGGAGGAGAGGGCATAAAGAGGGGGTGGGGGACCCCGTGCTCCTCAAGGGTCTCTGATTTCTACATTCCCCTCCTCCTAGCTTTCCCAGATTCTGGCTCCATGTAACCTTTTCCCCTCACCCACAAATTCATTTTGTGCATACATAGATTTTGCTCTTGCTCTTTCAGGTTGGGTCCCTTGCCTTCCTCCAGTGAATGACTTTCAGGATTCTTGAGTTCCAGGGATTCCGTTTGTGACGAAATACAAAGAACCTGGAATTCTGGGTCCACCATGCCCTGGCTCTGGGATGTTGGACAAATGTCTGAGTGTCAGTTTCCTCACCTGGACCATGGGAATGATGATAACTAGCTCAACTAGATCCTTCGGGACAAAGGCTTGGGAGCCCAGGCTGCCTGGATTTGAATACTAGCCCTGCGTCTTTACAAATGTGCAGCTCAGTGCAAGTGACTCTACTTTGTCTTACTTTTCTTAGTCATAAAAGGGACACCATCACAGAACCCACCTCACAGGGTTATCGTTAGCATTCATTTCATGAAAACACCTAATGCTTTCAGACAACACCTGAGTAAACACTTCATATTGGTTGGTTATCCTATCCCATGAGTGGCCTCCCTTTAGCCACCCACAGACTCATGACACGTGTACTATTCATGTGCTTGGGCTACTGTGACAAAATACCACAGACTGGGTGACTTACACAACAGAAATTTATTGTCTCTCATCATGGAGGCTGGACGTCCGAGATGACGGTGTCAGCAGGGTTGGTTTCTCCTGGGGCCTCTCCTTGACTTGCAGACAGCCTCCTTGTCACTGAGTCCTTACATGGTCTTTTCTCTGTGCACACACATCCCTCATGTCTCCTCCTGTTTTATAAGGAAACCAGTCACATTGGACTAGGTCCCACTGTAAGGGCCTTGCTTTAACTTAATCACTGCTCTCAAGGCCCTATCTCCAAACACAGTCACTTTCTGAGATGCTGGGGGTTAGGCTTACTATATGACTTTGAGGAAGAACACAATTCAGTCCATGACAATGTATAAACAGACCCCAACATTAGATGTTCCTGTGGGTGAGCCTCTTCCTTAATCTAATTCTTTTTTTTTTTTTTTTTAAGATTTTATTTATTTGGAAGAGAGAGAATGAGAGAGAGCACGAGAGGGAGGAGGGTCAGAGGGAGAAGCAGACTCCCCACTGAGCAGGGAGCCTGATGTGGGACTCGATCCTGGGACTCCAGGATCATGACCCGAGCCGAAGGCAGTCGCTTAACCAACTGAGCCACCCAGGTGCCCGTTCCTTAATCTAATTCTTAAGGAATCCCAGGATGTTTGTGTCCCATGGATTCTGTTTGTTGTCTAGTAGCGAGAACCTGCCATCAGAAAAGCAGGTTTTGAAGCTCAGGTTTCAAACCTGCTCATGGGTTTATGACCTTAGGCAAGTCATATGCCCTGCCTGAGCCTCAGCACTCACATCTTCATCCTAAGGAGAAGGATGACAGTAACTCTCACCAAGGGGCAGTGAGGATCAAGGGCAACCATGTGTATGAAAGCCCTCTGTAATCTCCATGTCCCCAGGGGTTTTGCCCCCGAACTAAAAGGACACAAGTAGATGGATTGATTGTCTTGACTCTCCTTCATACCCTCAAAATTCTGTGACTCTGATTCTAAAGGTGGAAAGTATCAAGGTATCGAGGACAAGCTACTAGGGAAGCAATTTCGGGATCCAAGGCATCAACAGATATTGTTGAATCAATGAAGGAAATCACACCATCATAGGGAACCCCCGCTCTGCATATTCCTGAGGCCCCAGATGGAGCTGTGCCAAAGTGCATCATTCATTCCCTGGGCTCTGGCACACATGTCTTGTCTGTTTCCACAAGAACTCACTGTAACATGGGCCCATGAACTAGGTATAACAGGGTCAGCAAACCTCTCTGTCTTTAACAGGACCCTGGGATCTTTTGTCAGAAAGGAACACTTGAACTTCCATGTCTGTTCACCTTCCCCAGGCATCCTCCAAAACTGGCTGGTTCTTTGTCAATGAAAGCTGTGCTTCACAAGCAGCATAGTGAAGAGAGAAATTGAGAGGTGGAGCTGGGGGGCGCCTGGGTGGCTCAGTCAGTTAAGTGTCTGACTCTTGTTTTCGGCTCAGATCATGATCTCGCCATCTTGGGATCCAGCTCCAAGTCGGGCTCTGTGCTCAGCGCAGAGTCTGCTTCAGATTCTTTCTCCCTCTCACTCCCACTCTCTCTCTCAAATAAATAAATAAAATCCTAAAAAAAAAGAGGTGGAGCTGGGAAATCAGATG